TTCCACCTTCTTTACCTAATAATATTAATCTCAAGTAACACCTCTAATATTCGGTACTTATATGACCTACAGTAACTTGTGTTGCTTGTGCCTTGAAACTCTTATTAAAACTAAACTAAACCACCCACACACACTCTCCACTTATCCCACACCCCTTAGGCAGTGGCGGTGGGTGAACCAAAATTTGGGTGGGGCTGTGGGAAAAGCGCTCATCTTCGCTGAGCCCTAAAGACGTTTGATTGGCTGCTGGGTAACTATAGTTGTAAGCGGTGACGGCAGTGATTGGATAAGGGAGCAAGCCGCGAAGTTGATAACTCTGTGTTCATTGCGTGCGGTCATAACGGTTTCAACTGCTTATTTCATTATGGAGAAACTTTCATTTACTGTGGGATAGAATTGGGGGTGGTGGGTGGGGAGGGGAGGGGAGAGGGGCTCAAGCCCGTGAGCACTTCACTACCCACTGCCACGCCCCTTAGGGTTCCTCATGCGACCGTCCAATTTCATCGACACCACCCTGGTGGACTGCGCTAACGAGTACGGCACCTACTGGTGGAACAAGGACGAGTCGGAGAACCGCAGACAGACCTACGACAAGAACCTCATGCTGGAGGACGTGAGAGCCAACGTGGAGACGGTCGTCAGGGCGCAGGTTGGTCTGACTGTGGTTCATGGTCCTGTTTCTTTCGTTGTTGTTGCTGTTGCTGTTGCTGTTGTTGTTGTTGCTGCTGCTGCTTCTGCTGCTTCTTCTGCTTCTTCTGCTTCTGCTTTTGTTGTTGTAACTGTTGTTGTTGCTGTTGTTGTTGTTGTGTGTGTGGTAGTCTATCCGTTCGAAATGTTTGGAGCGATGCTCTTCGCCAGGGCCACCGCCTCTCTTGGGTAGCAGGTGAGGCAGTCCAACCTCCCTGAATCCTCCCCAAAGAGATGTTGTTGTTTTTGTTGTTGTGGTTGTTGTTGTTGTTACTGTTGTTGTTGCTGTTGTTGTTTAAAGTTTCAGTAAGTGGTTGTTGATGTTTTTTTCGACAAAAATAGAACTGGTCTGGCCAAATCGTTATAGATCTAGCGAAAGATAACAGGTGGAGAAAGAGGTGCATTAAATTGAGACTTAGAGCAGGAAAACAGTCAAGAGGAAGGCCAGAAGAAAGTTGCAAGATGATATCAAAGAGTGGACAGGTACACCTCCCCCCTTTTCGATACACACTCACTCTTTCACCACCACCACCACCACTCCCCCAAAAAACCCCCCAGCGTCTGTAACGTTGTAGTTAGACCACTGCAGTCTGGAGTAAAGTATCAAGTCTGCAGTGAGTTAAGCCATACGCCATCCTATACAGAGGACAAAAGTTCTTCGGCCTTTCTACATTGTATCCCTTTCAACTCGGGTTGGCCATGAGAGCAAGGTCGAAGCCCACCTCCTAAGTAATGTTAAGTGTGTCTAAGAAGGCGTTTAACATCTACGACATGTACATCAGAAAAAAAGAATAAGAAATTTGATTTCTCACCTACTTTCAGGTAGACGAAGTGATGAGGCAGGAACTGGATCGGTTGCGATATGCAGTTGACCAACAGGTGGCCGGCAAGCCAAAGAAGCCGAAAGAGAAGAAAAAGAAAAAGGACAAAAAGAAAAAGAAAAAGAAAAAGAAGATGAAAGATCTGACTCCTGGTGTGCCGATAGAAGAACTGTTCAAAGAGCTAGTCTTAGAGGGGATCATCAAGAAGGTTTGTTGCGTTGTTCAGTCCAGGCATGGGCAAACTAAGGTTGCTGTTTTCAATCAATTTGTAAGAAAACCCTTATGAAAAAAATCCCAACTATGGTTATGTGAAGTGTAAATATGAAGGCGGTATGCAGTATCACGTAGAGTGATGAAGCAAGATTCAACAGCTGCTCATGGTATCCCCAAAACCACCAGCAAAATAAAGTAGAAACAGTCTTTGAGTATTGGGGAATGTCTGTTGTTCACATATGCATATCTTTTCTCAATTATGATTTAATTTACCTGGATAACAAACAAATAGAAAACAGAAGTTCGATTTTTTTTAAAATGTGAACTTACAAAATCTGATTTTCCATTTTGTATCTTTCCCCTTTATCAGGGCGTTGCATGTGCATGTATGAAAGAAAGGACTACACGTTATTTTGTGTTACGGTCAAGTTTAGGTCTTAAAAAAAAAAAATAAGGTTAAAATCATTTTTCGTTCATGACGTCATGTCTACCCTCATGGTGCCCCATTAAGAGTGGAGACTCTGAATATGCGAAGTAGGCCAAGTCAGTTCCGAAAGGAGACCTCAACAAGGTTTTTTTTTCTCTCTTTACTTTTCTTCTCTCTTCCTGCTGCCTTCGTGTCTGATTTCTTTCTCCTCTCTCCGCACAACAAGCAGGCAATCTAGACACACCGAAAAAAAAGTATATGTATACATCAAGGCAGACACCTGTGTGGGTTTTCTTTACACCTTTCAAGCTGCGCTCTCACAAAAGCCTGTTCCAAGAACAATGGACTGGGAGGTGAATTCGAAACCAGATTCGCCCACGATGAAATGTAGGTCATAAGTAAAGTGCAGCGACATCTCGCTACACTAGAAGAATTACAAATTTCTAGATTCTATCTCCTCAGTACCTAGTTTTGAGAAATTTGGCGTAAAAAAATTCAAGTTTCATAACAATTCAAGCTTTTTCGAATGCAATTTTTAAATGTCTTGATGACGACTCCAAATAGTTTAACGAATTTGATAGTTGGTCTCTGACCTCATGATCACATTAGCTCAAAACGGCCAATAATGTCAGATATAACTTTGTAATTCTAAAGTAGCGATGCGATCGCCCTCTGTCCTAGGTTATGTTCACGTTTTTCTAAAAGTTTATTATCGACAATGCTCCAGGCTTCCTGAGAGGTGAAGCTCATTTATTCTAACGCTTTATATTACTCATGACGACATTGTCACATACACACACACACACGTACACACACACACACACACACATGCACACAC